GCACCCATGTTCTTCTGCAAAGACAGCAGCTGTGGGAGAGCTCTGCTGCTTCTGCTGCTGCTGAACAGGCAAGATTATCTCCCTTGCTGCATGTTCGAGTAATCTAGGCAGACTTTGCTATGAAGTTCAATCTCAATTTCTTGATTACCACTTTGGAAAGTCATTGGTGATGCAGGAGAAAAAGTTGTGTAATTCACCACCTGCTTTTTCTCCTCTGTTTTCCTTCTCTCCTGCTTGTCTGGGCATTCATTGTCCTTCTTGCAATAACTGAATTGTGCAAACCATGTATAAGCAGTGTTCCCTCCCCTTTTGCCAGGGGACTGGCTGACTTGTTGTAAGAAGTTATTTTTAGGGTTTGCTTCCTGGGATATTCTACCCGTGGCCAGTTATGGTGATGAAAATGTCACTGAGACGTATAAAGGACTCCCAACTCATTGCTAGCGTGCCTGATCTCTCTGTTGTAATGGTGCTCATGGGAGACAAGAGTCCCTTCCTACTGCATCACCTGTGATTAGGGAGACAGTCACAATGACTCTGCAGCTCAACTCCTTGTGAAAAGAACACCAAGCTTCCACTCTGAGTGTTGTGCTGAAACTGAATTGGCCCAGGAGGGGGAAAAAAATGAGAGAAAAGGGGGAAAAAAAATAAAGGAGAGAGGAAATAAAGGCTTATCTTGGGTGTCTTGGAGTTTTTCTGCCTTATCCTTTTTTCTACATAGGGATGTCAGTGCTGCAGAGTTGTTTGTCATTACACAGAGCTGTCACTAACAGGCCATTTGCTCCTTGTACTGGACGTATTGGATTGCACTGAGTTGCTGCCAAAGGCCTGGGCAGACCAGAGCAGAAGGTGTGTGCTTTTTCTTTTTACACGCCTCTGCTGCCTCCCACCCCAGATCTGCTGCCTGAGCACCTGAGAACAGTTGATCTTCATGGCAGCTATCTCCAGCTTGCACAGCATGAGCGCAGTACAGGAACACTGCGGAGCTGAACGAGGCCACAGGCCTGCAGTGTGTGTTCCCTGGTGCCAGTATTGGTTTAAGGAGCACCTGCCTCTTTTTCTTGGGCTGTTGTTCCCTTCTCAGTATCACAGCTTGCCCCATTCCTTTTCTTTCCTTTTCTTCAAATCAGGAAATGAAACTCAGAAGAGCCCTTCTAAAGGGAGTTACTGAGGTTTTGGGGTTGGAAAAGCACTGGATTTCCAGACAAGTTTTGGGGGAAGAGATTGCTTGAGCGTGGCTCTTGAGGTTGGAGTCGCTGCTGAGAAGAGTGCATGCTCGCACTGTGTCAGAGCTGTGCTGTGTGGATGGGACCTGCGTCACCCTCCTGGCAGAGGCTGTGGGGAGCAGAGCCCGGAGTGCCTTTGGATAGAGGCAGCAGGGAACTGTAGCTTGGTTTTCAGGCCTAGTGCTACTGGAACATGGTAAAGGACAGTGACCTTGCCTTGGCGGTGGTGGTAGGGCCATGCGGGGCCCTGCCAGCTGCAGAGAGGGGAGAGAGGCTGTGGGAGGGCTGGGGGACACTGTACCCAGCTAGATGGTGTCCTCAGGGCTAGCAGTGCCTACAGACCACTCTGTGTGTGTTTTTTAGGTAATCCTTATATTCAAACTTACTTTACTGAATGCTAACTTCTGTTAAAGACATTTTGCTAGCTTGTTTCTAGGCAATAGCTTAAAGTACAGGATCAAGCTTTTAGACTCCTCTGGGGCCACAGGCAGCTGCGGTGTCTTTTTGTTTCTGCAGTGTCTCTTTGTTTCCTCTTCTCCACGTTCTTGACTGTTGGGTGGACTTAGTGACATGTGGTACATTTTGCTCTTCTGTATATATAGCACATCTGCTATATGTGATGTTGGATTTGGACACATCTGCATTTCAAGCTTTCTCTCTGTGAGGTTTCCTGGTAGCTCTGTATTTACAGCTTTCTCTGCTTAGTTTAAAGTTATCCTAGTATTGCAAAGGGAACTTGCTCTTAAAATAGACGGCTTGGCCTTTTTTTTTTTTAATTCTTAATTATTCTAATCCCCTGAAACTTGGTTTTTCATCTCATTGTCGGAAGAGCCTATTTTGACAGGTATTATCTCTTAGAGAGGAGTTACTCAGCACTTGGATGCGGAGCCATTCATCTATGCCCCCAAGAAGATATTGTGTTTACTTGGCTCCTAGAGTACCTAGGGTACCAGAATCAAGGCAGGGTTTCCAGCATTCCTCCCTCTCTCAACTGGTTGGAATAGCTGGAAAAGTAGTGAATTCTGACATGCTGTGTGGACACAGGTCCTACCGCTGCATCTCATGCAGCAAAAAGAGGTTTTCTGCTTAATTCCAGTGTTAGGAACACGTTGAAATTCTGTGCTTTCATTTCGTTCCCAAGCTTCATTTTTGGGTTCAAACTACATTTCCTTGACTTATTCAAGAGATATCCACCTGTTTGATGACCAGTGATAAGTATGGCATTTTATTTAAGATTCTCACTGTGATGTTACATTGTGATGGAAGACTGGGGGCTGGATGCTGTAGCTTTCCAGTCTTGGACAGCCCTGACAGTGACTTCTGAACATTCATGTATCAAGGTTGTATGAGAAGGAGCTTGTATAGCTCCTCCTGCCTGGGGTCCCAATTGATTCAGTTCTTGCTTTGTTAAAGGTGGAGGTGTAATGCAAGGAATTTCCACTTTCAGGTGGGGTATTTCCAAGTTTTTGTTAAGGATTTGCTCGCTTTTGAGAAAGAATGGATGGTTAGTCCTGCTCTCCAGGGGAGATTTCCATTTCTGCCTCAATTGTCCTCCCAATATACTTTTTTCCCCCTATATAAAAGAAGGTTCTTCACTATGTTTTGCTCTTCTGCACCACAAGATCGCTATGTGTACCCGAGACCACTAGGAAAGCAATGGTGCTTTTTTTCTTTTTGTTTTTTTTTCCTTTTTTTTCACTTTAGCCACTTACTCTCAGTCTTGCTGTGCTGTTCCCCTCACCATCTACTTAACAATTCAATAGCCATTATTGTTTCATTGAGCAATTTGGCATCTGATGTTCTCTGTCTTCCCAGTCCCACTATTGGGCAGGCAAGCGTTAGCACTGTTTTACTCTTGGACAAACCAGGAGATGCAAATTTGAAGGTGCTTACCAGTGCACTTGGACTCTTCTCCTAACTTGTTAAGAATTATTGCCAAGTCTTATTCTTTGCTGTAACAGCAATGTGGAGAGCATAGACAGAAAAAGGACTGTGGGCATTTTGGAGGAAATAATGTGAGCAAAAATATATAGTCTTGACTAGAGTCCTCTAGTTCAACGGGCACTGTAATAGGATTTTTGCATATTCCCTGTACTGTTTTTCCCTTTGGTTTGCTTATTGCTTAAGAGGTGCAGTGCTGGAATACACAGTGTTTGGCATGCTGTGTCTGTGAGCTTGGACTCACTACTGTTCTGTTGTTTTTCCAAGTGATAAGAGGGAGTTTGAAGACTGGAGATAAGTGCAATTTGTACAGAAGGCTTTTTCATAGGTGACAGTGAACAGGATGCGTTTGTTAAGACTAATCATAGCAAGAGAAAGGAATCACCTGGATAGAAAACGTTAGTGGTGAGTGTTGGCCACAGCTGCAGGAACTGGGGCAGTAACAGTTGCAATGTGTTGTTCTCTGGAAGGGGTGAAAATGAGATAGCAAACATGAGAACTTGGATCTCAAAGATCTAAAGGAGTTGCACTGCCAAGAAATGTATAATTTGTAACTAAATTCAGCAGCATCACTTGAGAGTGAAAATAAAAGCGATCATAGGATGAAAATTCAGATAAATTCTAAAATTGGCTTCATTTAAGGATCTAAGTAATTGGGCCAGTTGTGAAAATTTAGATCATGGGGTACTGTCAGGAAACAGTTCCCTTTCCCTGCTCACTGTGTCTCTAAGCTAACTGATCAGCATGTTAGCATGGCTTCCTACCTCTAAGAGAACTTAGAAACGCTGGCCTTAATGTATGGTTAAGCCTGAAGTCTTTCCAAACGAAGCTGGAGATGTACAAGATGCACTGCTGCAAACCCTCTTGATCATATGATAATGTCAAGCTAGTATGAAGTCTTCAAGAATGTAACATCCTTTGCCACCCAAGGAGTGGATGGGTTTAAGAAGATTACTGTTAGCTCGTCAGTAAGGAATAATTAGAAGTTATGGGACAGAGCTGAAGAGCTGTCATTAATTGAATGCTGGTTCTGAGTAGGGAATAAGAAATGGGAGGGAATGTCCAGAAATCCATTCTGTGCTTAATAATGTATGTGCCAGGCATACTGCTTCTGTGTGAACCAGCAGGATTCAAGCTGTCTGTAGCAGGCAGTTAGAAAGCATGCTGCAGGGCTGTGGGAAGGAGTATCCGTGTGAGGGGGAGCTGAGGGAAAAAGAAAATTCAAGGGAGGGGTGGAGTGTGATAAAGGTTAATTAAAGTGTGCTGCAGAAAGTTGTTAGATGTTCTTGTGTGCCCTTTCCATAATAAGAGACAAACTTGGTTATGCAACAAATTGAAAATTTATCTTTTCAATAATTCATTTCAAACTTGCTGCCTTGAGACACATATCACAGATTGAAAAAAGGGATGAGGAACTCGTGTGTAATTAAAGTCAGCATATGTGAAAAGGAATTCTTTTTAGAAAGAGAAGGCTTACGGTCTTACTTCTTCAGGTTATTTATGTTTCACACTGGGAGTTTAATCTCTTTTCTCCTTTGTATGAGGTGACTGGGGCAGTCCTGAAACAAACATGGATTGCTGTCTTCTGTATTTGCAACTGCTCTGTCCTCCATTTCAGGGAAGAATACAAGATTTCCCTTGCCTCATGCTTCCCTCTGGAGACAGAGCTTTCCTAGCACCACAGCAGGAGAGTGGAAGATGAGGAAAGGGATGGAGATTGGGCTCCAGCATCGACAGTGATCTCTGCTATCATATTCCTATGATAGGAAAAAAATATATATATATATATATAAGGGCATTCAGTCAGGAGCTTTTTTCGATTAGTCTCTTCTGCCATGTGGCTGTCCTAACGTTCCAGCATGTTGTAAGTTGAATTGATTCTGTTCTACCTGAATTAGCAGGTTTCAGCCACTGCTGGTTAGGGAATGTGAGACAAAATGAATTAGTGGTCTGGCCATGAGGAGTATTTAATTTAAGAGCTCTGAGAACTGACCGCTGTGGCTTGACTTTCCTTGCTTTTTGAAACTGTGTCCATCTTCACTTTAGCTTTTCCTTCATCTTTAGATTGAGTGGGTGATTGAACTAGATGATCAGTAGGGGTTCCTTCCAATCTCAACCATTCTGGGATTCCATGAAAATATAATGCTACTGAGGACTAATGTTGGCATGTAGACCTATGCTAGCACTGTTGCATATAAGTTTTTGACCTCCAAGACATAAAATTTTCAATGGGTCTGTAGAGGTTTTTTGTTGTTGTTTTCTTTTTTCCCCTATAGTAAGGGGAGTAGAGAGAAGATAGTAAAGGGAAGGCTTCAAGAACACAGCATTCTGTGATGCTAATTTTAGAAGCTACATAGCGCAGATCTCCGTAAAAGAGAGTTAGAAAGTATGTTTTGGTAGTTTATTTTTTTTTTTCACTTTTATAACTAGTAGGAAAGAGGATATTAGTGCTATGAAGGAGGACATGAAGCACAGTCCTGTGGATTGCCTGGATGTAGCAGGCACATGGAAATAAATTCTTACACTGGAGCTCTGAATGTTGTTCCACTTCTCTCTGGGGGTGTTATGCTGGCTGTCTCCAAACGAACAGAGCTTCTCTCAGGGCTAGAAGTTCAAGTTGATTGAAGTATTTGAATCGAAAGCATGAAGAGTGTAATTTCACACCTTCTCTGTGGCAAATGATATTACAAGTTATTAGCCAATTCAGTGCACAACTCTTAGGAATGTAAATGATATACGTAACTGAAAGCCCCGGCGATTCCGCAGTTTTTGTGGAAATATGGAAACAAATCAGACAAGGGCTTCTCCGAGAAGGGATCTGAACTGCTGTCCAGGCTGACTGTGCCAGGGAGAAGCGTGCCAGCTTCTGTGCTCAGTGACACTGCAGCTTTGTAGAATTGAGAGGCATGTCCAGCCGTCCCTTGACACCTCCAGGAGCACACGCCGTGCCAGGCTGTCGGCTGGAGGGAGTTTGCACTCCTGAGTCTGGCTGCCTGGGGGAAGGGGAATGTTTGTTTGCTTGCTCCTTGGAGTCGCCTGGGTGCCTCTTATTTAAGGATGTGATTGCATATTGAACGTAACTGTAAAATCCATGGTGTGACTGCTGACTCCCTAAAAGTTCTGAAAGTTTGTCTCAAGTGAAAAAGGTTTTTGGTTTCCTAATGCTATGTTTTAAAACCAAGTTCTTATTTTCAAAGCATGAAGTATACCTTAATTGAAAACTGGGGATCTTAAAGCCATCCCTCTCTTAAATGGTTCATTTGGAATAACTGTGAATCCAAATGAAGGGCAAATCGCACTAGGTTGTGAATTATCAGTGTTTATGGAAAGGCAAACTCTGTTTCTTTCCCTACTGCCCTTGCCACAATGAGAGCATTGCTTTTGTGCAACATAAACTGCATTTAGGAATGGTCTTGTGCTTAAAAGCTTTTTATTAATGAGGCCTATTAGCAATAATGAAAAACGGCAGCCTAAAAGTGCAGAGCTAGCCAGAAAAATGATTGTCCCAGAATGACAGGATGGCTGCGTACTTGTTCTTGGCTTATTTGATTTGGAGCAGGGGGAGCGGTGTGTGTTTGGCCCTGGAGGAAACTGTTCTCCTGCAGACGTGCCCGTGGGGCCCAGATGGGGACTGGTGGGGCTGGGGCTCCCCATACCACAGCTTCCTGGGCTGAGCCTCACCAAGCCCATAGCAGGCCTTTGCTTTCCCAAGGCTCAGCAGGGCAAACAGTGGCAGGACCCAGCTTCACATCTGTTAGAAGGAGAAGCTCTGACTCAGCAGAACATAGTGGTTGTGTGCAATAGGAAAACGACTTTTTCACATAATTATTCATCTGTCTATGTTTGTGTTGTAGTGTGTTACCACCTCCGCATCATGTGCTTTTTCAGTTGGGACAGATATGCATTGCTTTTCATTGCATGAATAATTCTGCTTAAGGAAAGGGGATCCTTTGCAGCGACTATATTGGATTAAACATATGAAAAAATGTTCCCACCGCATTCCTGCTTAGAAGATGACACAAGAAGATTGCATCAATGTTGCTTATTCATGTGAATAAGCCAGGCACTACAGGGACAGTTTGCAGAAGTAGAAGCTCCCTTTATCTCCCAGCTTTAGCATCCTCCAACTCTGTGCTATACCCACATGTCCGTGCTAGTAATTTCCTTTTGAGACACAACAGCCTGCCATGGCACACTGCCGGCTTGGAATAGCTTCCTCTGATATGGGACTGGCTTGCCTGTCCTCACTGAAAAGGATTTCTCTGCTTAATTCTCTTACTCCTGTTTGTGCTACATTGTTCTTAAGAAATAGGAGTTTCAGGAGTTATAAGATTCTGTGCCTTGGGAGGATTTTCGTGGTGTGACGGGATTTTAGGGCAAACAGAAGATCATTTCATATCAAGATGATGATTCTTCTCTTCTGGAGGCAGTATTGCTTGGTGAAGAAGGCTGGAGGGAGATGATTTATTGGCTCTGTTCCATGAGCGTCCAACCTTTTGGCTTGCCTGGACCTCACTGACTGAAGGGGAATTGTCTTGGGCCGATGTTTTGGTTGTTGCTGAGTGATGAGTGCACACCTGGGTTGAGCCGGGCCTCTCAGCAGAGAACAGCTGCTACCATGATAGCACAGAGGGTAGGGCTAATTACTAGCTCTGCTGGGCCACGTGCAGGCCACAGGTTGGACATGCCTGCTCTAAACTATGGCTGCTACTTCAAGCTGAAGTATCAGATCCTTCAGTAATTTAAATGGATTTCACCTTCCAGTAAGCCATCTCTTAACTGTATTCTGCGGCAGGACTCAGTGCTTGGAGCTCAGTAGGCTTGACTGGGCAGCATGGTGGTGCTTCCTCTGTCTCATCTGTGGTGCTGAGGAGAAGGGTGGCACTGGGCGCTCCTGAAACATATTCCATGCTGCAGGGAAGGCATTTCAAGCCACTTTGCCCTTGGCTCTAGCAGCTGCATCTTTCCGTTGGAGATAACTCATCTACCTTTCACACAAGATGGAGTCCACATGTTAGCAGCCCTGCCCTCCAGCCCTACTGTGGGGACAACCAAGCACTCTGTAGGAGCATGCAGTTGCTTGAAGGGTGCCTGGGCACGTGGTTGGGCTGGTTGCATGGGGAATTCGGGAACTGATGCTGAAGGCATGCAGGAGCATTGGTAGCAGGCTGGGTTAAAGCAGAGATGAGACTGATGCTGTGCACCAAGCTGCCATGTCCTTGATAGAGCTGGGAACAGGGAGCAGGCTGCCCGTAGGGCTGTCAGTGCTGCTGCAGGGTGAGAGGAGGAAATCAGCTCTTGGTGCAACACACTTTATAGTCTGGCTGCCAAAAGCACTGAATGATGCCAGGTTTGTGCATGTGCTGTTTGGCTTGATTTTATTTTCCAGGTCTCACTTTCCTGCTGTACATTTCTACAAGGCCAAGATTGGTGAGTTGAACCCAGAAGTGCAGGGATTGTTCTGTTTATTTCTCCTCCTGTATTTGAAAAGATTGGGCTTTCTTTACTGAAAAAATCATACTGCGAAGGCTCCCCTAAGCTGTAATATTAACAAAGGGAGGAAAAAGCAATTGCAAAACTTAACGTAGTAATGTGTGTGCTAAAACTCAAACCTGGTAATTACCACTTGCTCTCTTCAGTTCCTCTGTTCAGAGGTGGATGCACTGAGCATCCATGTTCCTTCTGAGTGTAATTTGTCTGGCATACACAGTATTGCTGAGAAGTCAAGTTTGTGGGTATCCTTTGGAATCAGATTTCATTCTGTGTTCTGTAATCACGGCTGTGATGTGTCACTGCTAGTTTGCATATACATTAATTTTGCTGTTTTTTAAACTTCCAAGTTTTTTGTAAAGCATTTTTTTTTTGGGGGGGGGGGGGGGTGGTGGTGGTAATAGAATTTAAGTTCTATTGCTTTGTAGATTTTATTTTAGATGTGTGATGCCTACAGGATCTAATGAAATATTTTCTTTCTTCTGCTTCTTCATTGACTTGGTCATTGAGTGCTGCAGCCCAGAATTCTTTCACTCACACCACTGGTTGGCTGTGTTGGCATGAAGCAAGTAAACGCATTCAGGTGCTTTTTCACCCTTGGTGTTAAATTTGGACAGAAATCCCCAATACTCCTCTTCTTATTTCTTCTTTTTTCCCATTTTGTCTGTCTCCGTTCCTAGTTTGGGAATAACTTGAGCCTGACCAAAGCACATCAGATTGTTGAGTGGGCAATATCAGTGAGAAGACAAAGAGCAATACTGGGCCTCAACGTTTTTAAGAGCAGACCATCTTGAGCTTTCATTTGTGTTCCTGCAAAGCAGGTTACTCCCTATATGATGCTTCAGCATATGCTTAGGAGAAATAATAAAGATGCCTTTTGGGGGTTTTGTTGCTCTCTTTCAGTAGTGGGAGAAAGAAAGGGAAACAGCTAGATTTAACTTATGCTGATGAACACTGGAAGATGTAGAATAAATATCTGAGTTAATAAATATATTTACTGCATTATATTTCTGCCTAAATATGACTCATTACTTTTTTTGCCCAAATTATATTCCTGAGAGCGTCTGATCACTGTACAGGTAAAAACTGAGTTTGCCCAGTAGCTAAGAATCGAGGATGCATTTTAGTATGATAAAGGCAAGTCACTGAAGAGATTCTCTCTCAGGGTAGCTGCCTGGGACAGGGTGAAACAGATTTAAACTTGGCAGCAAACAGACAATACTGGAAAGCACCATAGCACTGATGGTATATATTTCTGATATACATTGCCCTGTGCCTCCTCGGACTGCCTAGAGTGATCTCTCCCAGCTTCTCCTACACAAGGACCTCGGTTGTTTAATAAAACAGAATAGCCCTCTCAGAACCCTGCCTGACAGTCTTTCCCTGGTAATCTGGGTGTTCTTCTCTGGTTTGAACGCTTGCAATGTCTTCACTGTGCAACAGATTAGAGAGGGCAAAACTGGTTTATCTTGGTCCACAATAGTGCACATTGCCTTTGGCATGATGCTGATGCAGTGTTTCCTGTCAGCCTCTGTTCTTGGTGTTGTCTCCTGGTTCTCCTTTTTGAAACTCCTACCTCCCCTATCTACTGTGACAGTTTGATCATTGGTTTCCACAGACCTCTCTTTGCCTTCTTTGCTCCTCTGGTGCAATCCCCGCCATTTATTTTTTTTTGCGTGTGGAGACATATATATGCAATAATAGCAGTGTTTCCCATAAGCAGGCAGTGATGAGGTTTTCTAGATCTGCTACTCACTATATGGTTTTACCTTGAAAGCTTCCATTTCTCTAGTAATAGATTCAAGTTTGCTATTATTTTAATACTGGAATAATTCTTAATTGTAGTCTCCATTTGATCCTTGTAGGGCAATTTTGGAGCTTTAACAGTTTCTGCTTTTAACTTCAGATCACACAAATTTGTCTGTGTTTGCTGGCTTCCTCAGCAGCTAGAACAAGAGAGAGGATTACTGTGTGTGTTCATAGGAGATCCTACTTGCTGTGTCCAGGAACAAGGGTACTCTGGTTTATCTGTTTAAAGAGGAGTAGACAGATATCAGACACTGTCTGTTTTCCTCATTGATGAGGAGCTTTGGTTCTGCTTGTCGGTAGCCAACAGCATAATTTCTTTTTTGGGAAATTGGCGTGTACCAGTAGCTGCTGAACAGCCTGTCTCTAAAGCAAGGCTGTCCCAATAGCAGTGCCATATTTGCATTACCGTAATCCAGATCTCCTGTGATCTTTTGGTATTATGTCATTGGGTTTTGATTATTCCTTCTTTTAGGTGCAAAATCTATGCCCACGCAAGTTGCAGCCCTGGCTGTACTGCTGACTCCTTGGGATTTTCAAACAAATTACTTTATTCTCGTTCTTCTTTTAATCTGATAAATGGAATATTTTCCTTCAATATATGATGAGAGGATGGTAAAGATTGATCTTTATTCTGTTCTTGTAAAAATGATTACTTCTTATATGAGTGCCAGGAGATATGACGAGAAAAAGCTCAAGGAGCTCTGATGAACAGTTCTCTCTTGTGCTGGATCAGAAATTAGGGATAAACTAATGCAGTCAGAAGACAAGAACATCGTATGGGCTGACATAAAACTCCTGTGGGCACTAATTCTCTGAGTATTGTAGCGAAGGGCAGTGAAATCACACTGAATAGCTGCATGAGCAGTTGCAGCCAGTGTGAGCCGTGTTCTGCTGCTGAAGGATGCAGCCCTTCTCCTGACCATTTTTTCCCTCCTTGCGCTAGCACAAATTCTTTATATAGTTACACTGTGAACCAGGTTAATGATGGATCAGTTCAGCTCTCCAGTTCAGTACACTGCTGCATGAATGCTTGCGCCAGCATCAGAAGCAAAGAGGATGCAGGGCCATTAGGAAACAGGGCAGAGAAAGGATAGTAGAAGCGCAGTGACAGTGTTATAGCACAGGAGCCTCCTGAGCTTGCTGTTGGACAACTTTGCACCGATGTAGTACCAGGGAAGTGATTTCTTTATTCCTAGAGATATCAAAAAAATTTGGCTTTATCTTAGCTGTGGCCTTTGGGGAAGAGGGTGAAGGGAATCAGTGTTCCAGGAGGATTTTGACCTCATACAGTTGTACTTCTGGGATCCTCATTTCCAGTAGTCTGGCTAGGGAATCGGAGATTCCACTGCATTGCTGTATGGCTAAGTTGCTAAAATTTGATATTAAGGGTAGCATGGCTTTTTGGAGGAAGCAAGGGGTTCTTCAGTTGAAATAGTGTCTTGCTATGGTGCTGACTTTCCTAGTGTGCGTTTCTTTGCACAAACAGCTCTTGTAACAAAAGATGCAGGAATTACTGTGCCTGTGAGGTGTACTTGCAGAGAGGCATGATCTGGACAGAAATCAGGACTGGCAGCAGTTAGCCTCGCCTCTAGCAGGGAATATTCTTGTTCTGGAAGTTTGGACTTGGTCTGATGGCATTGTCTAACCCTTCTCTTGCAAGCCTCAGTTTCCCTCCGAGGCATGCGTACTTAACCTGAAATTTGGGTCTGAGTCTGCTTGGATTATCTATTTAAAGCCATTGAATATTCAAAGAGGTTTTCTCCCAGCCCTGGAATCGCTCAAATGAAGAGATCTCAGTGATGTGTCTCCCTGTTTTTGTCTCTTTGGGAAGTCATTTCCTACCATTAAATACTAAGCTCAGGAGTGGGAGCAGGTTTCTCTGTGATCCCTCACGGTGTCATTGACACGGTGAGTCACTGGTAATGCCCAAGTTCTTATTTTTAGTTCTGTTGCTGCCATCGGACTGAAACCATTGGCCAGTAAGAGACTTAAGCGAGGAGATAAACATGTTAATCTCTGTAAGGCCTTCCCCCTCAGCTGCTGCATCTGTGCTTTTGTGCATCTCGAGATTTCCCTGGTCCATCAGGCAGGACAGTGTCCCCTGTGCACCCCAGCAGGATGTCATTCAAACTTATTTGCTGTGGAGGGCTGGAACTGAGAGGAAAGCCTCAACGTGCACGTGGGTTTGTGTGTGCAGGGAGGCAGCTGGGCATGCTGTTACTTCCTACCCTGGCAGCTTTGCCTTCAGAGCTTTTCAGAGAGCATTTATTCCTTTCCCAGACCTTAGCATCACACTGCTTTCCCCTCTATTTCCTCCTGAAAAAAGCAACAGGATTGTTTTCAGTAAGCTTTCTATCCCAATTGAGAAATTCTGTCCCCTTTGAGCTTTTCAGATATCCTCTTCCATTCATGGACAGGATCATAGGTCTCCCTCAATGATATCCCTGGACAGTTTGTGTATTCGTTCTTACCCTTTGTTTTATTACTTGCTTTCTTGGCATGGCAAGTGAATGAACATGGAAGTACGACCGAGCTCCTCTTTGCCTGGTGATGGGCTGACTGTACAGATGGAGCATGAGGTTTTCTTCTGTTTCTTCCCCTTCATGTCCTATTTCCCAGCTATCTCGTGTCCTGTGAGTAAACTAATTTGCTGATCCCTCGTATCCAACTCTTTGTTCTGTCTGTGCTTTTTCTCTTAGCATGTGCATCTACACTTTCACAGGGACTTATGCTTAGATTTACATGATCTGAATTTGAAGGGAAGAAAGGATTGTGTTCAGCTGTTCTTTGTTACAGGGCAGATTACTTTGAAAATTATTTATTTTGAAGGCTTTGTTTGTGAAAGAGAAATAAAAAAGACTGATCACCTGAGGGGTGATGGAATTGCTTTTCTTCCAACAGCACATGCAAGCCCTTGCAGACCTTGCTGTTACTCAAGTCTCAAACCATGCATCTGGAGCTGGTAGCAGTGTGGGACTGGGGCTGTTCTGCTTCTCCATTTCTGTGGCTCTGTGATCTCAGGTAGCCAACTGTAGCTCATCATCTGGGTAGGGCTCAGGCTCCTGGCCTGCATTTTAGTGTGCCTCCTGGCAGCATGCAGTAGGTGCAGCAAACACAGGCTTAGTTTGGATGATGTTCAGTCGCATTGATTATAGCTGAGTTGGGGTCATTCTCCTGACCTATCTGGTTCAAATCCCTTTTCAGTTCTGTGCCCTCATTCTTGTTCCCACGTGTCTTTCAAGGTGGCCCAATCTTCAGGAAAATCAAAGGTGGATTTTTGCAAACCTCTTTTCTTTCTGAGACGTTCTGTTTAGAGGGGAAAATATGAAGTCTTGAGTGCCCGAGGCCTCCCGTTTTTCTTGGCCATCTCTGCTAGCATAGTTTGAAAGCCTTATGATAGAGCTGAGAACACTAACTGTGCCTTGGGGAGGGCTGAGGCATAAGCTGAAGAAGCTAACTGCTGGCCTTATCCCACCTGCCAGGTGACAGGGGGCAAAACTGCAGCTGGAAGTAGTGACTGCAGCTCAGTGTGGCTGTCAGTGTGTGGAGGTGGGGGCCAGTCCCTGGGAACAGTTTGTCCTGTCTGTGACTGAGCTTTCCCAGCTCACTCTCCAGCATGGTACCTATAAAGCTGATGCTGAGCTGCCTCCTGTTTTCCTCTGCTGATGTGGGGAGCTGTGGGGAGCAGGGTACCTGGAGGCACCCATCGTTGTGCCCAGAGCCAGCTGCAACATGGAGATGCTGGGTGCACGTTCACACATCTCTGCACTTGCAGTGCTGGGGTGGGGACTTGGCACTGCTTGCTTCTGCACTGCGGGTGGTGGAATTCAGGTCTGAAGTGCTGTGGGTGCCAGGAGCTTCTCTGTACATGGCTTTCCTCTTTTTGTACATTTTTTCATTTATTTGTGTTTTGACTGCAGAACTTGTTTCTGTATGTGTTAAAGTGTTTGTGTGGAGAAATGCACGACACTGGACAAACTGTCATTAGAAGCATTCTGTTGTGTGTCTTTTTCTTCCCTCTCTTCTTCTCACTTCCACCCCACTTCTCTCAGTCTCCATGAACACACTGAGTACCTAGAGCTGATGCACAGAGCTTGATGTCTTTGCTGACAGTGCAGCAGAAGGTGTGATGGCAGCACCAGGGATCCACCTCGCTAATTTTTTTCTCAGTACTGTGGAGATAATAGCACTGAAGTCACAGTACTGTGGTCTCAGGGTGGCTAGAGTCTCAGGCACATATGCAGATCCCCAGCAGGTCTGTACCATTTGTGTTGAAGTCCCCAAATCCTGCTATTACTGCTCCTGCAAGTGAGTGCAGCACTATCATGAATGTATCTGTTCATGCTGTGATTAAACCTTTGATTGCAGAGTAGACATCTCCATAAAGCTGTGAGGCTCTTTTGTGAGGACAGAAGGTGCCCAGCAGGAACAATACCAGAAGCTGGGTGTCTGTCTCCTGCTTGCAAATGCCAGCTCCAGAGGTAATAGTTAGGCAGCTTGCTTATCACTTCAGTTTTACTCTAGCTCTCACTCTGCTGCTGTGCTTTTAAAGGGGAGGTCTTGGCTTCCCAGAGAACAGCTGCTTATGGTGTCCCCTTGCACAGGGTCTTGTACACTAAAGCCTGACCTCCTGGAACTTTTCCAGCCAGTAACCCTATGGAGAAAAACCAGTGTGACTGCTCAAGTTGGTACAGGCAGTAGCTTGCCTGCAGTGCTGGATGCATCATCATTGGACCACGGGGGCAGGTGATTTCTGTCCCCTTTCTTAGGAAGGGCCAAGAGACAAGGGCGCCAAACATGCAGTGAGAGCTGCACGTCTGTTCCTTTGGTGCAGCGTAGCAAAGAGGGGACAGTGGAAAGTCTGTGATTTCAGTGGCACATGCCTTTGCTGTCTTGCTGTGCATTAAGGACACTGGTGTTCCTAATAACCCTGGGAGTCAAGCAAGTCAGAGCTGTGGTGGTGTAGTGCACAGTGAACTGCCATGACTTTTACAGCTTCCACAATGTGGAAGAAAAGGATCTAAAATCTGTGCAAGTGACCAAAATGTCCACAACTCATATGAGCTGCAGCATGCTTTATTCTTCCATGCACATTTGTTGCCAAATGAGGAAACGCAGCTGCGGCAGGTATATTGCTAACCACAGCTACATGCCACAGAAAACCCTGGGAGCTATTAGCAAAGCTAGTTTACAAATCCTGGCAGCTGGATTGTGGTTTGTCTGGGGGATTTGGGCCCGAAGATATTCTGACTTTACAAAGCTCCAGACAAAACTGTTCTTGAGAAGGTGACTGCTCTGTCCTGTGGATGGTCAGCCCTGCTGCTCCCTGGGGTTGGCGCTTTGGGCACTGCAGAGGATAGAAAAGGACTATGGGGACAGTAGGGCTGAGCCTAGGGTTGTCTTTGTTTGATTCTTGGAATTGAAGTAACAGATACCTGCTGCTTCGCAGCTTATTCTGGGTGATGGGTCAGATGTTGATAGCTGCATTTTGCTTTGGGTCTTGACACCAGGCTCTCTAGCAGAGCTGGCTGCAGTGACAGGCTGTGCAGAAGTTCCTGCCAGAAACTTCTGCCTACCACCTCATCAGCACCTCCAGCTTTCTCAAGGCTCTTTTGTCTTGCTTTCCCAGGGCATCCTCAGTTGTAGATTTGAGGTATTCCATCAGTCGACCTCAGTGTCCCAGTGAATCCTTGCCTTCTGGTTGGCTGCTGAGTTGTCCTGAGCCGTTGAAGAGTGTTTGTTCCCTTGCTCTGGCTATCCCCATGGCTTTATCTGGGCTGCTCCTAGCAACTCTGTTTTAAGGCTCTGTCAGCTAGATGGTTGGACAAGAAAGAAGCCATTTATCCTCTCTGCGGATGTGATTTCCTTGTGCCCACAGTGTGGCCAGGTGATGACAGCGAAAAAACCCCACTGATCTGTTTTGTACAGCTTGTGCAGCTTATCTCTCTGGCTTAGAGAGAAACTTGCATGTAGCAACTGGGAGCATCCCCCATGCAAACTGAGGGCTCGGCCACCTCCTCTGCTTCCCCAGCTGTAATGTCAGCTTCACTGGAGCTGCTGCTTCTGCTGGATCCTGACCCTTGTGGCGCAAGTCCCTCTTCCCCCTCCTTCTACATGGCTGTGCATCCATAGATGACAGCATTTCCCCACTGTTGACCTTCTCTCTGAGCATTCATTGTCCTATGGTGTACTGCCTGTACTGTCCTCCTTTCCCTTTGGGGTTTATAACTGAGATATCTGCTCTGGGCCTGGCTCTCCATTCCTGCAGGGAAGCTGATGGCAGTTCAGTGTGCACCTGTAAGTCGTGCGGCAGGAGGTGAGAATTACCACCTGGCTTCTGAATGAAGCTGAACCAGAAGGGAGTTAGCCTCTGACGTATGGATGATGGGACAGCAAACGCACGACATCACAGGCAATCACGTGGGCATAGGTTAAGAAGGTCAGGATGGCAAGGCAACATATGCGTAATCCTTTTGCTGTTTTACGTGAAGATGAATGAGTGGCTGTGGGGGTGGGGAGATGCAGCAGAATCACTGGAGGCAGGGTAAGCGTGTGTGCTTATAGGTTTGATCTCTTTTGATTTTATTTTTTAACAGGAATAGAATAGATTTGTATGATGGTAGCAGTAAAGCTTACATTATGTTGGCAGCTCTT